GATTAAATGCCTGCTCTGCCCTCATAAGGGTTTGATCTCCAGCACAAAAGAAAAGAAACTACATTTTCTTGCATATGTGTGGAGGGGACTGTGCATGGGCTGTGCCAGAGGACAATCTCCAGTGCCATTTCTTGGGTGACAGTGACTTCTTTTTTAGACAAGGTATCTCACTGACCTAGAACTTATCAAATAGGTTAGGCTGCCTGGCCAGCAAGCTCCAGAGATCTACCTGTCCCCATCTCCCCAGCACTGGGATTTCAAGTGTACACTTGGCTTTTGTACTTGATTTTAGTTTTTGGTTTTTGAGACAAGGTTTCCCTGTAGCCCCAATTGGCCTGAATCTCAGAGAGAGACCTGCCTCTGTCTCCCAAGTGTTGGGATTAAAAGTGTGTGCCACCATGCCCTGCTCAGCTAGCTATTTTTTAACCTGGTTCTGGGGATCACCCAAGTACTTTACCAACTGGTCCATCTCCACAACCTATCTCCCCAATCCAGAAACTTTATTTTCTAGAAGTTAGTGAGAGGCATTATTTTAGCTTCTGAAATCTCTTTAATGTCTGGCATCTTAAATCTGATTTCAATTTACTTATACATGTCGCTTTGGTTAGTCAAACAGAAGGGAAAGGTTTTTGGAGAGAACTCCAATAGCTTTTTCAGATGGTCATTTATATTCTCCTCTATGACACCAAACCAAAATCAGTAATAGCTACTTAAACATTAGTTACATGTGGAATCTGAAATCACATTTATTGAACTTCTGGGGCTTTTACATTAAAATTCATCAGTCTTTCTTGCACTTTGACCAAGCAAAAGTCCATGATATCGTGCCCTGGAAAATAACAGCTTACTTACTGGATCTGCCAAATGTTAATAAATTTCATTAATCATCTTATATAATATTAACAAATGTGATTTGGGAGATCATACCATAAATATAATCATAAAAATACTGCAAAAGTGTTAAGGGCATTATGGTGAAAGCAAGTTCTCTCAAATGTTCTCATTAGCAACAAATGCTATTATTTGTTTTCCTTCAAGTGACAGGATCACCATGTTCATTGTCAAGAAAATAAAATGACTAAGTCTGAGGAATCACACTGTCACTTGTCCTATTGTGAAATGCCAGGTGTGGAGGTACACACCTTTAATCCCAGCAGAGGCAGGCAGATTTCTGCAAGATGGAGGCCACCCTAGACTGCATAGCAAGTTCAGGCCAGCTAGGGCTTCAGGGAGACCCTATCTCAAACAAACATGTCACCAGGAAGAAGATGGCTAACAGAACTGAAGCTCAATTGTCCAAGGGCTTTTCCATAAGCAATCACCATGTAACTAATGTGTGCATCATTAAGACCATTAAAAAGGTATATACTTGTGTTGCTGAGATAGCTCAGTGTGTAAAGGCACTTGCTGTCAAGCCTGACAACCTGAGTTCAATCTCCAGGATCCACATGGTAGAAAGAGATAACTCCTGAAAGTTGTCCTATGACTTCCACCCATGTACACACACACACACACACACACACATGCACGCACACACACACAATATGTAATAAAGATATACACTTACATAATCAGGCTAACAATTGCTAATGCTTCATATCATGAGCATTTTTAAGTATAACCAGCCTTTTCTGCTTCTTTAGGTATATGGTGCTAAAATATTAAGGTGTGGGATTGAAGAGATGGCTCTGCCATTAAGTGCACTGACTGCTCTTGCAGAGGACCCAGGTTCAGTTTTCAGCACCTATGTGGTGGGCTAGCAGCATCTGTAACTCCAGTTCCAAGGGGATTCAATACCCTCTTCTGGCTCCTCAGCAGGCATTGCATGCACACAGCGCACTCACATACATGCAGGCAAAATGCTCATATACGTAATTTTTGAAAAAGAAATATTAGAGTGTAAAAAATTTTATTCACTATTGCTTTTATACAATTAATGCATAAAATGCATAAAGAATCAAGGGATGGAGAAATGGCTCAGTGGTTAAGAGTGTGGACTTCTCTTGCTGAGGACCAGAATTCAGTTCCAAGCACCCATGTTAGGCAGCTCACAACCATCCATAACTCTAGCTCCAGGGGCTCAAAGGCACTCTCTCTCTCTCTCTCTCTCTCTCTCTCTATATATATATATATACATAAAAAATGTAAATATGCATACACACATTTATATATATGCATATACATATATACAAATGTATATAAATATACATACATATGCATATTTACATTATTTACTATTTTTATTGTATGTGTATGAGTGTATTGCATGCATGTAAGTGCACCCATGTCATGCAGTGCCCTCGGAAGTCAGAGGAGGGCGTTGGATCCCCTGGAACTGGAGTTACAGACAACTGTTAGCTGTCATGTGGGTCCTGGGAATAGAACCCAGGTCTTCTGCAAGAGCAGTCAGTGCTCTTAACCGCTGAGTCACCTCTCCAGCCCCTCATCCCCTCTTTTAGACTCCACAGGCAGCTGTACTCACATATGCACAAAGCCGTCTCATCACATATCTACACATAATTTTAAAAATTTTAAAGCAAATGATTGTTTTTTTTTTCCTTCACAGAACCCCTGTGGGTGTCAGGAAGCGCCAGTGTCTGAAAACGCTGCTTTAGAGATCCTAAGGGAAAGATGTCAAGTTTCCTTACTTTGACTACATACTATCTCTTCTACTCAACTATTACAGCAGATAGATACATCTGTGTCTTGAACAGGGTAAAGCTGAAAGATTCAACCTCTGTTGAGGGGCTATCATTCACACCTAGTGCATTAGAGATGGCTCAGTCAATAGAGTTTGCAGTGCAAGCACCAACCCATGTAAAAGTCAGGTGTGGCAGCACACACCTGCTATCTCAGTCCTAGGGAGGTGGGACAGGAAGATTCCTGGAGCTCACCTGCCAGTCAGCCTAGCAGAATTGTGAGGAGTGATAGAGGAAGACACCCAGCGTTGGCCTCTGCCTCCGTACATGCACATACATGCACGTACATATCTGTACATTGTGATGGCTAATCTTGGTTGTCAATCTGACTGGATCTGGAATCAACTCAAATGCAATTCACTAAGCACTCCCATGAGGGATTTTCTTGACCAGATTATTTGAAGCTGGAAGACCCACTTTAAATGTGGGTAGCACTTTCTGGTGATCACCAGATAACAAGATACGGAAGAAGAAAACTTTTGCTCTTTGCCTGTTTGCCGTCACTCTTACTGCTGAGCTTATCCTATTGCTGTGGCATTCCTTTGCCAATATGAGACCCAGCTCCTCCAGGTTCCAATGTGGATTGAAGACCAACAGCTCTCCAGGAATCTCGTAGGCCTTCAGCTCCAGATTGGGACTGCGGGAACCTCCAGCCTCAGGGATTGAGCAATTACCAGATTCTTGCTCCTCCAGTGTCCTGCAATCACTGTTGGACTACCCAGATCCTATCCTGTAGGCCAATCTAATAATCCTTTAATATCTATCTATCTATCTATCTATCTATCTATCTATCTATCTATCATCTATCTAACTATCTATCCATCCATCTTCATTTTATCAGTTCTGTTCCTCTAGAGAAACAAATACACACACATACACACAAAGTTTTAGGTCAACTCAAGGACTCCCACCTTTGGATGACAATTTAAAGGAAGGTCAATAAATACTATCTAAAAGTGAATAATATCAGGTGTGGTATGCATGCCTTTAATCCCAGCACTTGGGAGGTAGATCTCACAGAGATTGATGCCAGCCTGCTCTCCATAGCAAATTCCAGACCAGCTGGGCTTCCCTAAGTGAGGGAGCATTGGACCTTCACCTTTATTTTATTTCCTCTTTGCTTGAACTGTTTTCAACACAAACATACTTTTATGATATAAAATAAACGATAGTTTTATAGACACATAAAAAGGACCCATGTGATTCATTTTATCTATAAGAGGAGAAGTAGGATATTGGAAAAACTGTTTCTCTTCTGAGGTCTGACTTACAAAAGAGAAAAATCCCCAGGGACAATCCAGGGTAGAAGGCAGCACCGCACCTAGAAGCTTGGCCTACGAAAAAGATTGCACTGAAAGGTTGCTAGCACCTCCTCAACAGAAGAGGCAAGACATGGTGACCAAAGGTGCAGGGTCCAGCCCCGGCAATTACTGTGGACACACCTTGGTTGACAGAGTGCTCTTCAGCTGGCCAGAGTTCATGACAGGCTGTGCAATAGCTACAGGGTGTCCATATGCTATGGAGGATGAAATTCCCTGTGCCTCACAGAACTGGCAAGATAAAAATGAGATCTTGCAGCTTAGTGTATTCAACATGGCAAGGCAAGATTGTTTCTTGGGAATCAAGATTTTTCACCCACAAAACAGAGTGAACTAGATTTCTTCAGATCAGAGTACTTAATCTTAAATAAACAAAACCATGTGAGCTGAAGTTCCCAGCAAAAAATCATACTTTTGTTAAATATTCTACAGGAACAACTGACTGTTTGAATCTTCCTGATTGTAGAGTTTGAATGTTGCAGGTCCAGAATCAAATTATCTTGGGCTACCTTTACTGTCTTTAGTAGCTACTCAATGCTCACCTGAGTCTGACCTAAGATCCTTGTGACTATCTGGTAAAAACTGTTTAGAAGTATTAACAGACCACTAGTTTTCACCAATTCAAAAGCTAAGAATGTTATCATCTGAAACAACAGCAGAGAATTCCCCGCTTTGCTGTAACCCAGCTACCTAATATTCCCAAAATGTAGTTTAAAAGCACCTTAATGTATTTCTTTTGCTGTATCACTATTAAAACTTCATAAAATAATTCCCACACGGGAAATGTTACTTGCAGCACACTGATCCACATTCCTGGCCCACTCATATTTGTCTCAAGAATAAATTATTTCTTAGTCTCTTTGAGGTGAGAGCTCTGTTTTAGGTTGACATAAACATAACCATTACATTTAAAATATGAAGGATTTCATGACTTATTTAAATTCAAATAACAGATATTCTTTAAAAGAAGCTGTCATCTCACCGATTCTGAAAAGATTTTCCAGCCACATTATCTCTGTAGGAATCAAACAAAACATGGTATTGATCCCGGCTCCATTCCAGAACCACCTAGAATAAAAAAGAAAAAGAAACAATGCTTTCTGTACATTAAAAACTAAGAGTTAATACAATTTCCATTTTAACTCATTAATAACTGCTAAAGGAACAGATGAAGCAACCAAAACTCATTCATCCTCATAGAGCCCACCCCATACCAGACATCCTGCTAGGTTCAGACACTAAACTACAATTCCTGGTTTAGATTGCCTAGAAGACTTGGGGGGGTGGGGGTAGGGGGGATTCTCACTGGGCTTGGGATAGGGTCAGGGGAACAAAAACATTTAAAAAGGAAGTGATATCTGGATGAGATCTTGAAGAATGAACTCTCTCCAAGTGGTGAGAAGTAGACGGTGTCAGCTAGTTGGATGAGCATGTACAGGGGCAGGTTGTTCAAGGGCAACTACGTGATTGGCCTTTTCAAGCAGAGCACAGGTGGCTACCTGGAGGGAAATGGAGCTGGACAGGAAGCTGGCCTCAGCATGACATGACTGCCACACACTGGCTCACAGGAGCTCTGAAAGATTTTAAGACAGCTGTACCTAAAGTTTGGGAAGGGCTCCCCTCAGAGCTCTAAGAACACAAACAGCAACAGAAAAAGTCGACACAACCTGAGGGATGATGACCTTATTACCTAAGGTTTCAGCTGATGGCTTTCCTAAGTATTTCAGAAGCTGACAGCTTTAAATGAACGCTCCACAAACCATCCACACAGACACCCTGTTTTCCCCTTCACTCCCTGTACACTGAGGAAGTAATCCTCTCCTCACAAACATCTCACCTTGTCCATTCACTCTGGGCCTTTTCAACTCTTGAATTCCCACTCTACAAGCTCTCTGCTGGTCACTCCACCCCAAGTCCTCCATACCCTTCAAAGCCATCTTCTGCTCTTAGCCACCTCCAGTGCCACTTCTGCCTCCTTCATTTCAGTGGCCTATCAGAGCTCCATGCTGACAAGTCCAAAGACAGTGCTGGATCTCTATCTTTTTTTATTATTTTATTATTTTAATTTTATGTGTATGAGTGTATTGCCTACATGTAGGTAAGTGCACCCGTGTTGTGCAATGCCCATGGAGGTCAGAAGAGACTGTCTGATCCCCTAGGACTGGAGTTATGGACAGTTGTTAGCTGCCATGTGGGTGCTGGGATTTGAACCCAGGTCTTCTGCAAGAACAACCAGTGTTCTTAACCACTGAGCCATCTCTTCAGCCTCTGGATCTCTGTCTTAATTCTTGGTGGCTGCCCAATTCCTCTTTCTGAAAACATGGTTCCCCATTCCTATCCATTTCTATCACTGTGGTGGCTTATTTGTCAGGTCATCTTCTATCTGGTCTCTAAACGTGTCCTTCCATTCTGTCCCTCATTCTGGAATGCCCCCTTTCCAGCCATGATACCTTCTGGCTTGGCACTCTCTGGTTTTCTGTTCCTCTACCCCCAAGATATGGCTGCTCTACACAGATGTGAGGCTGTGGAATCCTTGGTCTTTGGATTCATCTCAGCCCGCAGAAAGGAAAGAGAAAAGCATGACTGCCCTTCAGAGAGACTTCAGGAAAATGCATCTACCACTTCTGTTTTTCTTGGCCAGAACATAGTTATGTCACCACAGCTGGCCGCAGACAGGGCTGTGTGTCCTGTGATTCTTACTCACTTATTTTCATTGTCTTCAGACTCTACAGATCTGACTTTTACCTACCTTTATAGCCTCCTTTACTTGGACATCCTCACAAGTACCACAAATCAATAATACCCTCATTCAACGTATTTGCAAACATTAAGGGTCTAGTGTACCTGACTACAGGTTCGCAAAAAAGAATAAGTTCAGTTCCCTGACTTCAAGGAACTATGTATGGTCAACTATTTTGCCCTGGATTCATTAATGCATAATTGGCAAATAAATCATATATACTTAAAATGATATGTTTTAAAATATATACATTGTGATTAAATCAAACTAATTGTTAAGTTCATCATCTCAAACATTGCTTTTGTGATGAGAACACTAAGGATCTTGTCTCTCAGAAATTTTTTATTACACCTTAAAATTAATTTTGCAAGTGCGTGTGTGTATAGCATGTGTGTAGAGGACAGAGGACAATTTGCAGGAGCCAGTTCTCTCCTTCTACTGAATGGATCTGGGACTGAACTCAGATCATCTGGCTTGGCAGCAAGCACCTTTACCTGATGAGTCATCTTGTAGGCCCTCAGCAATTTTTAAGTATCAAATATAAATGTTTTATTATTTTTATGCATGAATGTATTGCCTGCATGTAAGTGCACAGTGTGGTACAATGCCCACAGAGGTCAGAAGAGGGTGTAGAATCCCCTAGAACTGGAGTTGTAAGCCACCAAGTGGATGCTAGGAATCGAACCTGGGTGCTCTGTAAAAGCAGGCAGTGCTGTTAACCACTGAGCCATCTCTCCATCCCCTCAAATACATTACTATTAACCATAGTCACCAGGCCATATAACAAGAATTTACTCATCCTAACTGAAACTTCATGCCCTTTGGCCAACATCTTCCTACATTCAGTTTTTAGTTATGGAAGTTGACTGCTGGCTTCAGCTGCACTGAAGAGTGCTGGAACCTTCTAGAAAAAACACCAAGAAAGGAGCTGGAGAGATGGCTTAGCAGTTAAGAGTACTGGCTACTCTTGAGGAAGACCTGGCTTCAGTTGCCAGTGGGCTAACAACTGTATGTAACTCCAGTTCCAGGGGAATTTGATGCCTTTAATTCTGCCACACCCAGCTGATTTTTAGTACTTATAATACAAGTGAGTGAAGGGATGGTGAGCCATTTAATGGCACAGGAGGAAGAGGTATAGATAAGAGCTGATGAGATTCAGGGTCCTGTTCTCATCATGGTAAATTAAGTTAAACATATACAACTGGCCTCTCCAATTGGACTATAAATTTCTGGAGGAGGGTATAGGAGCTCTGTCTTTGATATCACATACAGAACCAAACCCACAGCTAGAAAATGTCATCTATACTATTAAATATAGGTGTGCCTATTTTCAATAGCATAAATTGCATAAACTATTAATTGATTGAATACAAACATAATGATTCTCCATCAATAGCTCTGTGTAGTTTGTGATAGGGTAACCACTTTATCATTTCTGAAAAACAAACTGCAAAAAAAAAACAGTAATAAGCTCAATAAAATTGTTCTTGGCAGGGGCTAGAGAGATGGCTCAGTGGTTAAGAGCACTGGCTGCTCATCCAGAGAATCTAGGTTCAATTCCCAGCACCAACATGGCAGCTAACAACCATCTATACTCCAATTCCAGAGGAATCTGATGCTTTCTTCTGACCTCCTTGGGCATTGCACAACATGGGTGCACTTACATGCAGATAATACATTCGTACACATAAAATAAAAATATTGTTTTTAAATTGTTCTTGGCTAGTAGGGTTGCCTAGAAGATAAGAGACTGGGTGTAAGGGAGGGCTTACTTCACACATGGTCAAGATGCTGACAAGCTTCATGTTCCTTCGATGTGCCTTTCATCATCAGAAAAATTAAACTCGTCATCTCTAGAGTACTTTGATGTATTAGAAAAACAATTTCTTATTCCTCAGTTCAATCCAAATACTCCCTTCTCAGATCTGAGTAACTTTTATCTGGATCACTGACTGGGAAATCAGCTACCTACTGCCTAAGGTATTCCAGGCTTGCACTGTTAGCTTTCTGATTCTTATTTACCTTTTTTCCTGTGTCAGCAACTTCCTAGATCAGCTGTGTTTACATCAGCTATGTTCTAAGGTTTGGGTGGTAGAGAACTGCTTACAATTCTTTTTGTCATCTAACCCATCTGTAACCAGGGCAGTTCACTATATACCACCTCCTTAATAACTATTATCAGGTCCAGGTGGAGTCCTGTAAAATAAGACTGGATTTGGAAACTTGTGATGCCTCCAGCTCCCCTACTTTGCTGGATGGCCTTGGGTAGGCCTCAAGTGTTCAGACCTGTCCTCAACCATAAACCGGATAGAATACCTGTTTTATTACTTTGCTCTGTGGCTTATTCACATAAAATGGAAATCAATGGTATGAGAAGCATGCAAGTCATGCTAGAGACCATGGAAAATCGATGCCACTTTTTACAGATAAAATGCTAGATTTCAAACAGCACTTGACACTTTGCATACAGACACTGCCTCTCTAAACTATTTCCCTCAGAATACTTACTTTCCTCTGCTACTAGAATGGTTTGTTGGGAATATCTGAGACACAATGAACTGTAATACTATTTATGAATAAGCTCTGACATACCGTACAATCTGTCATTACTAAAAGTAAGTATAAATGTAGTTGGAAGAGTTTGTTCTACCAGGTAAAAATGTTTCCCATTTTGTGTGTGTGTGTGTGTGTGTGTGTGTGTGCTGCATGTGAGTTTACCTGTGTGTGCGCATTTGTACAAATGTGTGGAGGCCAAAGGTCAACACTGGATGTCTTTCTCAGTTGCTCTTTTGTTTTTTGGGACAGGTTCTCTCACAAACCCTGGAACTCACTGATTCTGCTAAACTGGGAGTTTCAGGAATCCACCTGTCTCCTATCTCCAGCACCAGGAGAAGTGTGCTTTCACACCCATTTTCAAAATGTGGGTGCTAGTAATCCAAACTAAGTTCTCACACTAACACAGCAAGCACTTTACTCACAAGCCATCTCCCTAGCCCCCATATTTCTCACTTGTAAGGCTCTATTTTAATAATCATGGCATTCAAGATCAGTATTTTATAAACTGGTCAGTTTTTATAAAACGGCAGCCAAGGCCAGACTGCACCTTCCTGAATTGCCATAACCCAGTGCCAATTGTGAGGCAGATACTGAGATGGCTCGCTTTGCAGACACAAACTCCCTGTTGGTAGGGCTGAGCTTTGTGTCATCTGACTCCGGCTTTGCCGAGGCTGCTTCCTCTGATTTATTTACAGAGTTCGCCTTGTTAAATGCACACTTATAAATGCAGTCATTCACCAATTGTGAAACTGATGTTTATCTAACATGGTAG